TAATTCGATGCTCAGAAGGTGACCAGACTCAAAATCCCTTAACTCCATCTCCGTAACCCACAAATACACCCTTCTTTGCCCTTGGGTTCAGTTTACCCTCATCCACGTGATAATAAACAGGACACCCAAACACTTTCAGTGAAGAGTAATCAGCAGGCTTACCATACCACACCTCATAAGGAGTCTTACACTCGATACCTGTGTGAGGTCCACGGTTGATCAGGAAGCACGCCATGTTTACTGCTTCTGCCCAGAATCTTCTCTCTAGTCCAGCATTAGAGAGCATGCACCGTGCTCTCTCCAACAATGTCTGGTTCATCCTTTCTGCAACGCCATTCTGCTGGGGTGTGTCTCTAACAGTCCGATGACGGGCAATCCCTTCATCCTTGCAGAATTCGTTGAACTCAGAACTGCAGAATTCCAGACCATTGTCCGTTCGCAGCTTCTTGATCTTCTTATCGGTCTGATTCTCCACCAATGTCTTCCACTGCTTGAACTTCGTGAAAGCCTCACTTTTTTGCTTCATCATGAAAATCCAAGTAAATCTCGAATAATCATCAATAATAGACAGAAAATACCTGCTGCCTCCAATGGATTCAACTCGTGAAGGACCCCAACAGTCGGAGTGGAGGTAATCCAGTATCCCCTTCGTCCGGTGGATACCCTTCTTGGGAAACTTGCTGCGATGTAGCTTCCCAAACACACAATGCTCGCAGAATTCCAAATTCTGCACCTTGTGCCCGCAAAGAAGATCCCTCTTTGACAGAACTTGCATCCCTCGTTCACTCATATGCCCCAGTCTCATGTGCCAGAGAGTGATCATATCTTCCTGATGAACCTGAGATGATGCAACTGCAGCAGAACCAGACAACACAGACCCTTGTAATGCATACAAGGTCCCACGCTTCACGCCCTTCAGTACCTTCCTCGAACCCTTGCAGACATACACAACTCCACCTTTTCCTTTGAAGCTGAAACCCCTTGCTGTCGAGTAGACTCAAGGAGATCAGGTTCTTTGTCATTCGTGGAACATGCCTGACATCATTCACGGTATAGAACGAACCATCATGTGTCCGAACCTTTATGGACCCGATTCCAACAACCTTGCAGACAGCTCCATTAGCCATGACCACGTTACCACCATCTATCTGCTCGTAGGTTTTGAAGCAATCCCTGTTCGGAGACATATGGTATGATGCTGCAGTATCTAGAAACCACACATCACCACGATGTGCCTTCTCATCTACAGCCAAGGCGAGATCGTCTTCAGAACTGTTGTCCACTTCTGCCACGGCAACTGAACCTTGTTTCTTCTGTTGCCCTCTTCTCTTGGGACAGTTGTACTTCCAATGCCCCACTTCCTTACAGTTGTGACAAGCATCACCTGGCTGTGGACCGGGACCCTTGGAATTCTTGCTCGAATTCCCTTTACCAGATTTCTTCTTTCCCTTTCCACCTGTAACAGCCAAACCCGATGCCTCACCACCTGTACCAGATCCAGACGCCTTATGCCTGATCTCTCTCGTATGAAGAGCAGACCTGACATCCTCCAACGACACGCTTTCTTTACCAGCAATAAAAGAATCAACGAAATTCTCATATGAACTCGGCAAAGAAACCAGCAGGATTAGGGCAGCATCCTCGTCATCAACTTGAACATCTATATTACGCAGATCCAGCAAAATAGAGTTAAGCTGTTCGAGATGTTCCCTCAAAGGCGTACCTTCTTGCATCCTCAAGCTGAACAACCATTGCTTGAGATGCAGCTTGTTGGTTAGAGACTTCGTCATATACAGACTCTCCAGTTTCAACCACAAGCCCGCGACAGTCTTCTCAGCAGCGACTTCAATGATGACGTCATCAGACAACGATAGCATGATGGTCGAGTGGGCCTTCTCCTCCAGGGTATTCCACTCATCATCATCGACCGCTGCCTTCTTCTGTTTTGCAGACAGCGGCCCCCACAGCCCTTGCTGTTTCAATAAAGCCTGCATCTTGATCTGCCATATAGCGAAGCTGTTCTTCCCCGTGAACTTTTTGATCTTCATGTTCACCGACGTCATTCTTCTGAATCGAAAAAAACCTAGCCTGATTTCCAGCCGCGGCTCTGATACCACTTGTCGAAACCGGGGTGCTCAATTAGTACGATATTGTCCGCTTTGGGCCAAGCCCGCACGGTTTTACTCTTGGGTATCCTCCCCAAAAGGCCTCGTATTAATTGGGCTAGGTGGACACTTATATACAAGGGTTCCTTCCCTTGTATTACCGATGTGGTACTTGGATTGTCCCATAACAGAAGGACTGTGAGTCTGTGACAACCAGAGGAGGGGTGGAGAGAGAAGAGGTAGATGTTTTCTTAGGCTGGGTTGGTCAAGAAGGGTTGGGTTATGGGTTGGGTGGTTTATCTTATGTGGTTTGTTTCAATGACGTGGCGGGTCAATATAAGCTGATTAGGCTTTTCTGTTAGCCACATCAGCAAAAAACTGACGCTGTTAACGGAGACTAAAGGAAGTTAACGGAGAGTGACCAAAGTTGAACGGTTTAAGTAATCTCAGTGACCACTGATAGAATTAAATATTTCTAGTGACCAAACATGAATGTTTTCAATAATCTTAGTGACTAACCGTGCAATTTACCCCTATTTTTATATAACTCTATTTCCAATTTTAGTGTTTGGTATAATTCCTTTAACAATAGAAATGAATTGCACTTTTAACAATAATTAATAACTAGCATGTGCCCCCGCCATTTGGCCGGAGAAAGGTGAGTATGAAATTTGATAATGTAATAGGGTGTATAGTTTATTGTTGTATAGTTTTTTTTGGGAAACACGTGATAAAAATAGTGAATTTTAGTAGGAAAGAGACATGAATGATGCAACGAATCAAAAATCAGTCTTATGAACCAAAATCAAGTACCTATTACCTTGTGAAATAATATTGTTTCTGGTAATATGATGAGGTGGAGTAAGTTTTATAGAAACCAAATTCCAGAAAATCGAATAAAAAATCGCCTATCCCGCCGGTTTTCGGGAAATGAGCATCTCACAATCATTGCTAGCTTTTACTCGGCCCGTTGGCCGATTAATTTGCTTTATAAAACTTTCATCTTGTAATCATTGTTCTTTCTGTTTTTTTGCCAAGCCATGATAAAATTAAAATCTAAAGAAATTAAGAATGAACAATACGATTTGGGATAGGAACCACCGTTCCTGTATCCCTAGAAAATGGTGGTAAACACAGACTCACCTGCCAAATGGGTTTGGATTGAGATTTTTATCGGGTATCAGGGAACCATGTGATTATAAATTAGACTTGATCAAAACAGGCCAAAACTTGAAATTCAGTATGTTTGACCAACCCATGCCAAACTCTAATTATTCTTTACTTGTAAACTTTCTATTTGAAAATAAAAACTAATGAAAGAAAAGAGATGACTGCAATTCGCCATTTGCACATCACTGATTCGGGAATAAAACTATAGAATTTCGAAAGGAAACTGAAAATGTTTAGGATCGTTTTAATGTTAAAAATAACCAAATAGATCTTTCTGTTTAGTTTTTTACTAACAAATACCAAACGATTTCCTATAATATACACTATAATTTAATCATTATGATATCAAATAATTACATAATATATTTGAAATGATAAAAATTGGACTAATTGGGTTGGTCGAGGTTGAACCATTGAATAACTTTAAAATACATTATATTTTAGCCACTAAGATATAAAATAATAGCATAATATATATTATGCTAGAGAAAATAGCTTGTTTTAGAATGACAAACCATGATGTTCATTTGTTTTACTTGATGGGCAAATCCCGTGTAGGTCAGGCTCATTCAACTTTTTTATTTTATGATTAGCGGTTAGCCCATTAGAATCCATGCATTAGTTTATTGTTAATTTTTTTTCTTTTTAGCAATAAAAAGGAGTATTGTTTTTGCCTTTTCATATATATTTTACCACCACGGAGAAATAAAAGGACTTAAAGAAAAAAATTGACGCTCTTGGACCCGTTTAAATCCGCATGTGTACGGTAAGTTGGCCCATTCCACAGAGGAAAAAGAAAAAAAATTGACACTCCCTATTCTACCTTTCCTACAAACGCTCCTGGAGCAGGGAATTTAAAACGGGGGAAGAGGTTTTTCCTCTCTGCGATTATATGTTTTTAATTTAAAAAGATACAACAAATGTATTTAGTGCGATTGGTTATGATCGTTGTTTTTCTTTAAAGTGGTCATGTTCGAATCCTAGTAAGTGTCTTTTTAATGAATAAAAAAAGTAATTGTGAAGACCAAAATGTCCTTCCTACTTTCACTGTGGATGCAGGAAATTTGAAATGGGACTTCAAGTTTTCTCGTTTGGTTTTTATTTATTGTGTAGATGTAATATATTTGTTTTATCTTGGAAAATGGAATATGAATGATAGAGAAAGAGAGTAGGGTGATAATTGGTTAATAAAATAATAATAAATAGTGATGTGATTCACTAATTCCATCATCATAAACTCAATTCCTATCACTTTTTATAGGAATTGTAATTCTCAAAACTTAGCACAAATGAAATTCGATCTCAACCTTCTAATCCTTCCAAACATAAAATATAGAACTGGAATTGAAAATGAAATTCCAATTTCTGAATTTTTTTTTCTATCCAAACCGCTGGAAATGAATTGAGGGGAGCTCATAGAGTTATAGTGCTGAAGAATTTCCGAGCTCAAAACTTATAAGGATTACCATTTTCAGAAAGGAAGCCGAACTGGGCCGAGGGCCCAAAAACTGCACTTGCTGACACCGGAGAGCTCTGTGGGCCTTGACGTGCCCTTGAAAGAGAGGTATACCTATTCGAATTTCTAACTAACTTACGAGGTTTTTTTATTATCTTTTCTGGCAAGATAAGATTCAACAGTTCATTGTCTTTCTTTGATTTTTATGGAAAGAACAAACCAATCATCAGCATAGTAAGTTCAAACTTGAGAAAAAACGAAAATGCTCCTATAGCGATTTGTTGGATCCAGGATTACTAGATCAAGCAGGTAAATTGTCAAAAACAAATTGATAGCTGGAAAAGCTAAAGGCAAATACAATTCCAATCCATGGATGAAATTATAACTTCCCAAGAAACTAATAAAAGGGGGCTTTGTGAATTCCCTAGAGAAGCCACCAATGCGCAGGAAATAACTTTGTCCCCAAGAGGCAGTAATGTCAGATATCAAACTACGACAGTACCATAAAAGCAAACAATGTCAAAGATTATGATACAATGCACATTTCCAAACCTCAACTGTCAGCAGGAGCAGGCATTAGCCTTAATCGGCCCTCTGAGGACTGACTCCCACTCCCACTCAAACCAGCCTCCTCGGCCAACAAAGAGTGCAAATCGCTGCCGTTTGCCAAGCTGTTGAACTCCACGGCCTTGGATGGTGCAGTAGGATAGCGGCGTTGGCAGAATGTCATCAACCTCTTCACCGACTGCAGATACTTACGGGTCGTCTCGTCGTTCATGATATGGGCCACACTGTTGGTGTAAATCTTCTCGCGAGCTGAACGCTCGTGGATACCAACCATAGTAACACCTATTGGCCAGGGCGCATTCCCTATTGCCAGCTTGATGTAGTGATCCATGGCAGCAAGGTAGTCCCGCTCCCTGCAGTAGTTTACCATTATCATCAATGCTTGCCGAATATCATCTTGAAGAACCTGCAAAGAAACAATACATAATAACAATGAGGTGCGAAAAGAGAACACTTATGATCTCCAGATAAAATCAATCTAGCACAAGAGAGGAACAAGGGCACTTGGATCTCCGGGTTATGCACAAGGGAAAGAGAGTGTGGTAACTGGTAACCAATATGAAAAAGGGAACAAGCATATCAAGCCTCAATAGGAATCAATGGTGTCGTTTGGATGTGTGAATCTGATGATGGAATTGGCCTTAAATCGTTTGTCTAGATGACAGCGATATAGACACCAAATGGAAGAAATTTGTAAACCTCTAAAGTCCCAAATCTTTTCATGGGCGGATTTTTTCCCTTTCATTTGACCCGTTTCTTTGTAAGCTTAATGAGTGCATTTTCCCCATATAAATGTCAAGTGGATCAACCATCCAAACAGCAATTCATAATCTATCCGACTATCACAGGTCATAATCCACTCACTGAAATTCCATCTGGGTCAACATTCACACATCCAAACGACTCCCCAAGAGTTCATACAAGCACAAATGGAGCTCAAGATCCACAACATCCAAGTTACATTAATTAGTTGAAGACGGAACAACAACTAACCAATATGGATATTTATAAGCATCATGGTAACAGATTAAGTTACTGCCATGTCAAGCAATTAATCCACAGCTCAAAGCATGATAGTTTAGTTTAGTCTATGAATATACCCTGCAATACAGCAGGGCATAGCAAGCTAAGAAAACCAGAACCATAGTGCAAGAACAAGGAACATCCATTCATGATTCAACTCATCATCTTCACCAGCAGACTCTCAGAACCAGAACACATTAAGACCATGACCTAAGCATTCAAATGAACCACATTAACAGGTATGTTCATATAAATTAGTGTGGACTCATGCTACACATCCATACCAACGCTTAATGGAACGAGTTCCGAAAGAATAACTCACCTTCTTCCTGCAGAACTTGAACAACGGACCCAAGTACCTAGCGCATTGCTTAAACGTGGCCACCATTGACTTCCCCTTTGCAGTACGCTTCTCTGAATCCGGCATCTCATCCAACTCCTGGTGCCACTCGTTCAACAGCCTCTTGAAGAACACCAAAATCTTGTCCTCATCGCACAATTCCTCGAAATTGGCTTTCATTCGCTTCAAATCCTTTTCAGTGTCGAGCCCACTCGATCCGCCATCAGCACTCAACTCACCTTCTCCTTTGCCTCCATCTCCGTCCTCGCCAGCCCCTTCCTCCCTGTCCTTTCGCTTCCTCTCGCTCGGCATCCCGCTTTTCTGCCGCTTCTTCAGCTCGGCGATGTCGCGCAAGAAGTCATTAGTCTGCCCTTCTGTCATGTCGCTGTCAACCTCGAACAGCCCTGCTTTCAGAACGTACTTCAACCGATCCAGTCGGGCGTCGTCATCTTCACCGAAGAGCGTTATCGGCTGCTTCAAGAACCGGAGGCGGCGGACGACTTCATGCCGAGGAAGGTCGAGATTTTCAATGTTTTGCTCGTTGGTTAGGGATTTGGAGCCCGAGGAGGCCGATGTGGAGGCGGCGGCGGCGCTTGCGGCCGCGGCGGAGGAGGAGTTGGTAGATTTAGGGGCGTCTCCGTCCTGCGAATCGGAGTTGGCGGATTTGCGCAGAGCTTTAGCTTCGAGCTCGCGCTTTTCCTGTTCCCGAAGCTTTTGGATTTCCTTCTTCTCGATTTCGGAGCGCTTGAAGAACCGCTTCCCGCCGGTTTGTTGAGCTAGGGTTTGTCGTTTCCTCGCGAGCTCTTTCTCGAGGATGTCCATCTCTAGGGTTTACTCAGGTCTTCGAAATTGCGGATGAGAAAAGGAGAGCAGAGGAGACAGTCCGAGGAAGCAGATGAGATGATAGAATTGCTGAGAAAGTGGAAAATCAAGGTCGAGGCTGAATCAGGTGAAGTTGAATCGAAACCCGATCCCGAACTTCCCTATTTGATTTTGACCCGCTTTACTTTAATGATAATAGGTCGAACTCGAACATCAAATGAATATCTTTACTTACCGTTCATATTGATACTTAAATAAAATGCAACATGCCAAGTAAAATTACAAATATATTATGAAACAATGTAGTATTATAGGAGGAATTTTACAATACTATATAGTATCGGTGCTATAAGTTTTTGTCTTTATGGTACAACTTGAAATTGTAACTTTAACGTTAACGGTTTGTACAAATTCTTTTATGATACAACTTAAATTTGTACCTTTATGTGATGGTGCAACTTCAAGTTGTAAAGTTGTACCATAACATAATTGTACAAATTTATTTATGGTACCACCTAAACTTATACATTTAATGTTATGGTACAACTTCAAGTTGTACATTAAAGCACCAATACTATATATCATAGTAGAAGTGCTCAGTATTATAGATGTCCATTGGATGTTATTTTGGATTACATATGAAATGTTACATTATGAGGTAATTATCTCCCTACATTGATCATGAAAATGAATCTTCTTTATGGTTACTATATCACATTCATGTGAATTGATAGATAAAGTGTAAAAGTTATGTATATATAAATAGGGCACTTATTATACAAAGGGATAAGATGAATTAGAAGAAGAACACATACAATATTATTTAAAAAAAATTAGTAGTTTCTGTTGGGGTATTACCTAGCAATTAGGAGTTTGGGCCCCCAGACAAGGGACCTGGGGGCAAGGCCCAAAAGAGGGCCCTGTGAAATACTTCAGGGCCCAAATAAGAGGAAGGGCGCATGAAGACAAAACACTAAAGGCCAAAGGAGTCCAGGCTGTCAGGTGGTCCATCGCCTGGGGGCGCCTGTCACGCGTCAGAAGCCTGACAGGGTGGTTGGGGTGCCTGACAAAGAAAGTACAGAGCATTAAAGGGGCACAATGACGTGGAGGAGATCAACCTCGAGTTCGGTGAGTATAAATAGGGGCAGTCGGTAGCATTTACGCAGGTTGGACTCTCTCACCTAAATTTCTACCTAAGAGCACTTCTCTCTCCAAGGGGACTAACTTGGGCGTCGGAGGATTAACGGGCCCAGGCGCCCTCCTCTTTGTGTGTGCAGGCAGGCGTCGGGAGAAAGGAGGTCTCAGTAATACGCGGCGGGTATCGTGGCACAAACAATTGGCGCGCCAAGTAGGGGGATATAACCAGGAATCATGAGTGAGGAGATGGAGATGAGCGATGAAAGGGAAAGGGAGGAGGTAACGGAGGACCAATCGGAGCGATTAAGGGGGCTGGCGCCCGAGATGGAGGAGAGGGAGGAAAGTGATGAGATGTTTCGAGGATCGGAAGGCGCCTCGATGACGAAGAGGGAGCTGTTCAGAATAATTGAAGACCAAGACGGAGCGATCGAGGCGCTCCGAAGGGAGGTCGACGCCCTAAAGAGGAGTGGATGAATGACGCCCAGTCCAACGAAGAAAAGGGAAAGGGTGGCGGAGACGGAAAGTGAGGCGGGATACCAGAGGCGCCCCAGTTTGTGGCGCCCGCGGGAGTACGACGGGCCGGAAACGGGAGGATGGAACGGAGAAATTTTTGGACGCCTGTCTCGTCACGGACCCGTGAAACAGCCGTTGGCGCATAACATACTAACGGAGCCTGCTGGGACCAACATTCCCCCACTCCCCACCTACGATGGAACCGCAGATCCGGAGGACCACCTCAACGGTTACTTTACCAAGATGCAGCTTTACAACAGTACAGACGCCACCCTGTGCAAAGTGTTCCCGTCAACTTTCGCGGGCGTGGTCCTCGATTGGTATTATCAGATTGAAGAAGGGCGCATTGAGTGCTTTGAGCAGTTCGCGGAAATGTTTCTTGCGAAGTTCGCCAGCAGGAAACGGCGCACCCTGACGATAGGCGCCCTGTTTAAGGTCAAGCAGAAAGAGGGAGAGGCGTTGAGGGAGTTTTATGAGAGGTGGTTATCTGTGGCCTTGGCCGTAAAGGATGCACAGCCGTCGGTGCTGGGGGTGTGCCTGAACGAATGCACCACCAGCGAGGAATTGTGCAGGTCGCTGGCGAAGAGAGACGTGGTGTGCACGGAAGATCTGGATCACCGGGTGCAGAAGGTAATCATGCTCGAAGAAACGTTGGCGGCTAGGAGGGCCGACAGGCGGAAGGCAAAGGGAGAAGAGGTGGAGTCGCTGAGGAGGCCGCACTTTGCGAGCAATTCGGGGTATGCGCCCGCGAATCCCCCCCACCCAGGAGAGGGCATGTCGGGCGCCCGGCGCCCAAGGGGCCCTTTGCTGAATATACAGACACGTTGAAGAACATACTTCAGCATGTCAAGGAGAAAGGGTATCATATCAGGTGGCCTGGACCCATGAGAGGACAACCCAACGAGCGAAACCTGGACCGATATTGCGACTTCCACCGAGAGGTGGGGCACCACACAGCCGACTGCTATCAACTGAAAAATGAGTTGCAAGGCTTAGCTGACAGAGGGATGCTCGGCGACTTCGTCAAGAAGCCTGAAAAAAGAGTGCACCGGGCCTGTGTGGCCGGTGTGGGAAGAGCAAGCGAAGAGCTGCCACCACCACCATACGACCTCGACCAAGAAAACGCGCCCGAACGGGTGCGCCTGACCATAGAGGCTATTTCGGGGACGGTGGACTTAAGATAGAGGCGAATCGCCGCCTAAGGGCAGCGTCGGCGGACTTACAAGAGGTGATAGACATCAGCTTCAACAGGGCGCCAGAAGAAGCGTGTATGCTCCCATCCATGGACGCCCTAGAAATACAAGGAGTGGTGGCGGGATGCCAAGTCAGGAGAATGCTAGTGGACACGGGAAGTTCGATGGATGTGTTGTTCAAGGACACGGTGGCCCGCATGCAGCTGTCGCCAGAACTCATCAGGCCGTCCGAGTCTGTGCTCGTTGGCTTTTCGGGGGCGCTCGCTAAAGTGATTGGGCGAGTGCGCCTGCCAGTTACTCTGGGGGATGGGGAACAAAGAGTAACGCGGGCCATCAACTTTGGAATAGTGGACTGCCCGTCGCCATACAACGCGATTCTGGGGAGACCCCTCCCAGCCTTATTTAATGGCGTGGCCTCCACTTGCCACCAAACGCTGAAGTTCATTGCGCCACAAGGTGTAGGTGTAGCACGGGGACGGGGCGCCCCGCGTTACGCGAAGGAAACGGGACGGAAACGGAAGTGCACCGAAGCAGTCAACGTGATGGAAATTGCGGCAGAAGAGGCGCCCCGAGGCGAGGCTGCCAATAAGGAACTCATGGTGGCACTGGACGAAGGACGCCCGGAGCGACAAGTGAGGATATCGGCGGAGGCGCCTGACGAAGTGAGAGAACGCATTGTCACCCTGCTGAGGGAGTTCGCGGAACTCTTCGCCTGGAGTGCGGTGGAAATGCCGGGTGTCACCCCCGAAACGGCCGTGCACCGACTGGCGGTTGAAGAAGGTAAGCGCCCCGTACAGCAGAAGCGGAGAAACTTATCGGCGGAAAAGGAGGCGGCGCTCAGGATCGAAGTGGATAAGCTCATGGGCGCCAATTTGGTTGAAGAAACGTCCTATGTTACGTGGCTATCGAATGTGGTTTTTGTGCCGAAACCGTCAGGGGATTGGAGAATGTGCGTAGATTACACAAGCCTCAACAGAGCGTGTCCAATGGACGCCTATCCAATGCACCGAATAGACCAACTGGTGGATGCCACGGCATACCATGAGATGCTGAGCTTTGTGGACATGTTATCGGGATACCACCAGATCCCGATGGCGGAGGAAGATCGGCCCAAAACAACCTTCATGACACCCTTCAGAAACTTTTGCTATCGGGTCATGGCATTTGGGCTAAAAAACGCAGGCGCCACTTATCAGAGGATGGTCAACAAGGCCTTCCGCCAGCAAATCGGTCGAAACGTGGAAGCCTACGTAGACGACTTAATTGTCAAAAGTCGAAGGCGCGAAGACCACCTGGACGACTTGCGGGAAACGTTCCAGGCCATACGGGCGCACAGGCTGCGCCTCAACCCACTTAAATGCGTGTTTGGCGCCGAGGCAGGCAAGTTCTTGGGATTCATGATCACTAAGCGGGGCATTGAAGCCAACCCGAAGCAGGTGGACGCTGTTCTCCAATTGGCCCCGCCAAAAGCGCCCAAAGAGGTACAAGGTCCTGCAGGAAGGTTAGCGGCCCTGGGACGCTTCATTCCCCGTTCGGCGGACAAAGCCGCCCCTTTCTTTCGGACACTCAAGAAGGCAGTACGTTTCTAGTGGACTGCCGAGTGCGACGCAGCGTTTGAAGAGCTGAAGCAACTCCTAGCTGCCCCAACGGTGATGACGGCGCCCAAGATGGGTGAAACGTTGTATCTCTATATCACTGTGTCAGAAGTTTCGGTAAGCGTAGTGCTTGTTTCAAAGGAAGCCCACTCAGGAGAAGAAAGGTCGGTGTACTATGTCAGCCGCACCATGGTTGCCCACGAAAGGCGATATGCGCCCATAGAGAAAGCTGCTTTGGCGGTTGTGATGTCGGCGATCAAGCTAAGACCGTACTTCCAGGCGCACACCATCGTGGTGTTGACCAATTTGCCGTTGAGGTCTACTTTGGGATCGATGGATGTGGCCGGACGCCTAGTCAAGTGGGCGGTGCAGTTGAGTGAGTTTGACATCAGATATGCGCCCCGACCGGCGATAAAAGCACAAGTCTTGGCTGATTTCATTGCTGAAGGGGTCACAAAAGTAGAGAGGGGCACGAATGATTGTTGGCAAGTGCAGGTGGATGGAGCCGCCAGTCGTACGGGCGTAGGAGCCGGTATAGTGATGATAAGTCCAGGCGGTGCGATGCATGAAGTGGCGTTGCGATTCGCAAAGCTGAAAACTAACAACGCCGCTGAGTATGAAGCGGTCATCGCCGACATGAGTATGGTCAAGGAATTGGGCGCCCAAAGGGTCCAGATCAGATCTGACTCGGCCCTTGTGGTCAATCAACTTAACGGCGTCTTTGAAGTTAAGGAGGAAGCACTGGAGGGGTACGTGAGAAG